TGCTGCGCTCCTCGGAGGAAACTCGGCATTTTTAGTGTCCGCAAATAACCCAAACGTCCTGTTGCTGTTCCAAAATCTGCCGTTGTGTTTTCTGTTTCATTGGTTAGTACACAAAAGCAGAAGTTTTGGTTTTCAGAAATCAGCTGAAATCCGCAAGGATGACGGCAGCAAAACACAAGTAGCAGAGCAAATTGAACAAACTTGAAATTATTTATCAAAGGGGTCACTTTTAGAGAGTGGCTTTTTTCACTGGAATATTTACCATTTAAAGGGTTTGCATTTTTAGTGGGATTATCTGCAGCCTGGTTTACATTGGACACCTGTTATAGCAAAATGGGGGGGGCAAGTTCTAATCATTTTGCACTTTCTACGTCTGATACCTCACAGAGCTGTCGTCTGTCTTTTACTTCAGCAGAAAAAGAAAAACCCCCAAAACGAATAGGCAATTATAAACGATGTTGCAAGGTATCATAGCAAACCACCCCAGCTACTCCTCTGTTCTTGCTGTTACTGTTATTAGCTTCAGACTTTTGAACATCTGAAGTTTTCACTAAGGTGCAGGTACTATCAAAAGAGTCTCCAGGGCACCAGTAGTTTCCCCTGAAGGTTTGCGTTTTTTGCATTTGAAACCGAAAACTTTAGAACATTTTGCTGTGCTAATGAGATAGTCGAGTCTGGGTCTACATGGGGGTTTTAACAGCAAAGCTGCGTGGGCTAGCAGTTGGGGAGGGAGATTGTGCAGATGCTGGCAAGAGCCCTTTGAGTTGAGCTATCCGAAAACTCCTTCAGCCCAGCATAAGCTGCATCCTCGCCGCGGGTTTCTGGTGGCAGTTATGGTGAAGCTTTTGCAGTGTAGCTGAAACTAAACTCTTCACATTTGGACAGATTTGCTTTGTCCCTGCGGCAAAGCAGTATTGCAGGCCAAGGTGTAATGTCCTGAGCACGGGTAGGTTACTGAGGAAAAGAATGAAGCAAAAGGCACACGTGACCCCAAGGAGCAGCCAGGGTAGTTTCTTGTACAAGAGAGACTTTGTCTGGCTGGTTATCAACACGTGTAACAATTGTATCAGTACCAGCTGTTACATCTGCATGATTCTGTAGCAATCAAGGGATAGCAGAACTGTTCCAACCTTTAACCTTGCTTCGTTCAAGGTCAGGAGTGATTTAGCAGCCGCGTGGCACCACAGGGTTGGATAGGCTGACCCGTGCTCCTGAGCAGCCGCAGTTCCCCCAGCTACAATGTTTCTGTCCGTGCCAGTCTGTATTGTGTGCAAAGCCCAGTTTCCTGTCCTCGCTGCGCAGGCATCTTCCATCTCCGTGTGCTCGAGTCCTTTGCAGTTCCCTGCATGGACCGAGGGGCTCCGAGAACTGGCCCTTGCCTGTGTTGCAAGGTGTGTCACGGGGGAGTGTAAAAGGACCGCACCTTCTAGCTGACATGGTTCGGCAGCAAAGCCCGTAGTGCGGACCCGGCTGGGCTAGCAGAGCTGCTCGTGCGAGGAAGCAGGCGTAGTCCTGCCACCACAGAGCTGTGGCCACGCAGGAACATGCGGCTGCCTCAGTGTTGTCCCTGTCGTGAGCAGCAGCAGCCCTGTGGTGCAGGCATGCCCCTGGACTGATGTTCACTGCGATTTCAAACATGGCACAGATGTTTTGTAACCGTCCTCCCCCTTTTCTTTAAACCCGAGTTTACAACTCGTAAAAAACCTTGATTTTACCACAGACATCTCTTTACACTTAAACCAGAGAAAAGCCAGCATTTGGGGTTTGGTTTTGTGGAGGCCTGTTACTTGGTGTTGGAGAAGGAAAGGGACTGGGAATAAAATGTGCATACCTGTCACCTTTTCTCAAGCAATGGTGACTCTGAATTTAATTGTATTTCCAAAGTTTTTATCCAACTCGATCTAATCATATCTAGAGGCCTAGACTCTTAAATTGAAGTCTCCGCTATTGAATTTCCAGTTCTCGGTGACCCAGGATCATGTTCTCGGGTGTCTGCTTCACCTGCAAACTCATGCTGGCCTCTGCGAGCCAAGTGAACTCCTTTCATCTTTCAACACCAATCAATAATTCTGCTAGAAAAAATCAAGTATAGTTACATCTGTGCACCCTCATTGTCTTGGTTTTTGTCGTGGGTGAAAAAAAGGGCTTGCACAGACAGGTATAACTGACCAGAAGTTAGGAAACTGCTCTTGATGAAAGTCAGAATAAAAGGCTGCTCCTTCTTCCATAGCCCCATTGATTTTCAGGGCTGAAAGTAAAGCTTGCTTGTTTTGACAGGTCCAATTCTGCTTGTGTTCAGGGAGAGGAGCAGGTCGGCTTGGCGAGAGGGGTGGTGTTTTCACAAGACCATTCTTCAGACTAGAATAGCACTTCCAAGCTTAGAGAGGGGCGGGCGGGCTGTGCAGGGCAGGGAAGCGCTGTAGATGCCTACTCCCAGCAAACGGGCCCACGCAAGCTCTTGGGGAACCTCTGCTGGGCACGAGCAGCAGCACAGAAGAATGAATTTGAAGTGCAAATAGCACGCTCTGGCTGAAGTAAATGAAAACAGATTAATCCACCTTTTGTTCTGGCACGTGGCAAGAGTCACAGCTCCCTGAGGAGCGCTAAGAGGGTGTCAGAGAGGACACAGGCTTTTCATCCAAGCAGAAAGTGTGAGAGAGAGCCTGGAGCGCAGTGTAGAGCTTATGTGGTGGAAGTGTGGAAGGCCGGGGAAGAACCTTTACCTCTGTCTTGTTCTCTGCTTTCATAGGGCAGACCTGCCCTTTCGCCAGATCTGAATGCAGGTCTCTCCAACAAAGTTACTCTTTCAGTTGGTCCCAGGAGCTGCTCTCCTTGGAACATGTCATCCCCCGAGAAACGGCCCTGTTGCCTCCGAGACCGCCTCTGGCTTGCCATCCCATTGCTTCAGTATTTGAAAAGCATTTTTGAAATGTGTGTCACCTGACTGCTCTCCCGGTCTGTTTGATACCTGTTTAGATTGCATCTGTTTCAAGCTGTCAGGTTCCCAGTTAGTTGGTTCTCTGTTGCATACCCAGATCTCAGAAACAGGCAGAATCCCATAAATATTCACTTAAAGTATGTGGGACCCTTTCCAAACTCCTTGTATGGTTCCTTCTAGTATCTTGTGGCTTGCTGCAACAGGCAACTGTCTTTAAAGGCTTACTGCCAAACCGAGGCTTTAAAGGGCTAAATCTACTACGCTTTATTGTTCAGTTTGCCTAGCGTAACTGTCAGATCGAAGGAACTCATTATTTTGAATACCGAAATGCTAAGGGCTACAACACTTCCCAGGGCTAGTTTGAAGGTCCAGTTGCAATTAGACATTGTGCATAAATAATTTTGAAAGAGCAGCTATTACATTTTTCTACCAACTTGCAAATTCTGAAAATACTTGCTAGAAAAACTGAGCTGATTGCAAATAATAGATTTTGTTCATGTGTGTTTGATTTTGTTGCTCTGCAGCCTCTATCATTTTGGGGCAGCGAGTAGACACAGCACAACTGTCCAGCCCTTTATTTTTTGGAAATGTTGAAACTGAAGAACTGTTGGTGGAACTAGGAATACGGGGACTTGGGGAAGATCCTCTTTCCTCAAGAACAGTCGCTGGAGATCCCTTTTCAAATTAGCTTCCTTTGACTTTAGCTGGGCCTACCAAGGAATAAACTGCCGTAAGACTCAGCCGGTGAGTTCTGTTGTGAATGCGGCTGCTGTCGAACGTTCAAAGGGCTCTTACCAGGGTACAGGTGATGCTTAAAAGTGACCGCCATGAAGAGTGGAATCTGTTCTGGTGTAAACAGTCACTGTCCTACTTCCAGGTGGTTTCACTTTCCTTTTTGTTTAAGCTGTAACACACACAGCTGTCCCTCTCATAGGCTGTTAAACCTAAATGGTCACCACCTTAACAATGATCACATCTCTAAGGCCCGGTCTTTTGGGATATAGTGGCTGATGTACGGTGCCTGGTTCATGCTCCATTTTAAGAATGTTTGTTCAAGTTTATGCACAACTTAAGCTAAATTTGGCCCAAGTAAGTTTGTTAAAAGAGAGTGAGTCCACATGAACTGTCAGCCAAATAGCACCAATCCACTGACCTGGAACCAAGCCCGAACATCCGACTGTTCCCCGCGGATCGCTGAACAGGTACCTGATGCAGCCATCCCTAGGCACCGTTGGCTTGGGCCTGATACACGCGTGGTATGAAAATCTCCCTTTCCCATGGGCTGGCCAGGCCTTCCTACTCAGTTTGGTTTTGTTGGGCTGGCAGGAAGTTGTGCATCAGCTATTTGTGTTAGGGCCCAGGAGGACACACTTGCAACATTTTATTTCCTGGATAGTGGATTAGCAATAACAGTTTCCTTTTGTGCCAGTTCATTATCTCTGAAGTGTTCTTATTGCAGCAAAGTTTGGATTCTGACATGGCTTTAATGCTTTTGCATTAGCCAAGATTATTAGCACAGAAATGGATGTTGAGCTGAATCCAGGCAGTGTCCCTGGATGAACATCTAGTAGGGCTTCCCAACTTGTTTTCAGATGGTTACAGTTACCCATCATTTTTAGAACAAATATACAACTAAAACGTGTGGGTGTTTTTTAACCTCCTTTTCATAACACTAGCTTATTGTAAATTGCATGAAATAAACCTGTTTTCCCTTTTAAAATATTGTCTGACGTTTGAAATCTTTTTTCCCTCCTAAATTCCTGTGGTGGTGAACACTTAAGAAAATATCATACGTGCTCCCCCTCCAAATTTCACGTGCTTGATTTCAAAGTAGTCAGTAGTTCATGTTTATCCCATGATCCAAAGCACTGACAGTGGGTGGGTTGGCTTGGTTAGGGAAACAGGCTCTGCACTGCCTCGAGGCTCGCTCGGTAATGGCTGTAGACACTCTCTAAAT